TTTGAAATATTGTCTGAGTATGATAAACTGATCGGAAATATTAGACTGAACATTTTACCTTCTAGGGTATGAAGAATTTAAATAATACATTTTCATTTCAATAAGATGTGAAAGACCTTGGTATCATTTATTTACAGTATTTTTGAAGATTAAATATGTAAAATTAGATTACTTAAAACTTGAAAATGCCAAAGACATAACTATGAACTGATTGCACAAAGCTAAATTTGTTTTGGGGAAGTAGGATTTTGGGAGAGATTCCAGCCATCTTTTCTAGGTGTATCTTGAGGAAGAACATGTTCCTCAGAGGTTCAGCACTTTATCTTTAGGAACCAATATTTGAATCCTGGTAAATCTTTGAGAAATAAGTAATGGACAGAGCAATGTTTTGGAAAAAATTTCTCAAGTATCTTCCAATTTTCAAATTTCTTCTACAGTCCATAAATCAGCTACTCTTATTTGATATCATTATTTATCATCTATTCCACTTGGTTTGTTTGTTTGTTTTTTATTAAAAACATCTTGCAATAATTCCAAACTTTTGAACTGGTATATTGTCGTGTTTTCTTCACATCAATGAAATTAAATGAATTTCGTTATCTCATCTTGTTTTCTTCTCCACTAGTTGTTTTATGGTAATTATGTTGTTACTACTAAATTGCCAGCCCTAAAACCATATTGCTCTTTTCCACTTTTTCTTGATTCCTTTTCAGCGCTTTTCTCAATTATTTTGCTGCATAGTAGGGGTTTGCATCGGAGTCAGTATCAACCCTTGGGTGTCGATGGAATTTTAAAAGGGGTCAGTGATGATCAAGAGGCGATTGGGGTCTATAGCCTAATATGAACCAGTGATAGATTGATAAAATGAATATGTCATTGATTTTAAAAAAAGAGGAACTTGATAAGTATTGTTTTCTGATAGAGATCAGCAAAACATAATAATGAATTAAAAATTTGCTCATCTTCTTTTGTATCCATTGTTCATCCTTAGGATCAGGGCATTGCTAGGCTGATGCAAAACAACTTTTGAAAGAACGAACTTCATTTTGCAAGGCAACTTTCCTGTGACGTCTCAGGTATTTGACATCTGTGTAAGAAAATTGGTGGTCATCTGTTCCATTTGCCACTACCTTCCCACAATTATCTCACCTCGTTCAGCTGAATGTGTAATGAGACAATCATTCATGCCGTAAAATGAATGCCCTTTTATGAATGATTTCTTGCAGCAAAACAGGTCGTTTACAATGCTGGTATACAAAAAAAAGTAGTTTATGCTATTGATTTCTTCCTCCTCCGTGAAAGAAATTCCCACAAGCCACTGCTAAGTATGCCTCTAACTGCACTTGAACTTCTTGTATTTTTAGTGTGGATGTCTTTCTTGTCTATTATGGATTTTAAATTTTTGGTAATGTAATGTCTTATAAATGGTTTTGAATGAGTAGAAGGTGTTTTTTATTTCCTTTTTGTATTCTTCATACATGTTAAAAATTCTTCTGCTGTCATTGTTACAAATTTCTTTCTCATTTTGGTCAACAAATTTTTTGTTCTCTCTTTCAACACTACTGATGAAGTCTCTTGCAAATATTACTTCATATGATTTGGTATATATTCTGAAGTTCCTTTAATTTTCAATTCAAAAATTTATTTTTCAGCCATCAAGGTGTCAATATGCACAATATATGATGCTGATGTATTTACCACTAATTTTTAACACTACTGTAATGAAACATTCATATATACATTCCCAGTTCTTTATATATTCATTTATGTGTTTATTAATACAAATAGAGATTCTGACTTTGCTTTCATATTTATCAACACTACTGAGGAAGTGTGAATAATTGTTACAGCCTTTCTTTTCGAGTCACATATATAATTGCAATTGAGTATGATGAGTTAGAATGGGTATTTCTTACTACTTAATAACAATATAATAAAATGAATAATAATAATTTAAATAAAAAAATGAAATAAATTAAATCTATGATTGATCAATCTTGCACTTCTCCCCATTGTACGCCACAAACCGTTTTCAAAGGCAATCAACGATAAAAATATCAATGTTAACTATTTGCAGTGGATAGTGTGCTTTCCGAAACAGATCCAGTGCAAGGAAGATGGGAGGGAGGAGGCTGATTTTCTACTTCCAAAACATACTGCAACATCTTTACAAAACATACTGCAACATCTGTATTCAGATTGCAGATGTCAGTTGTTGAAGAATGCTTGAAAACTAAAGAAAAGTTTCTGCAGAACGAACTGTTTGAGTTTATTCTTGAAGCTGGGTAATCTTGTAATGTGTCTCAAATGTGTAATATTTGAATTGTATACCTATACAGAATGTAGGGGAAACTATCGTACTTAGGGACAGATGTACCTAGGTACAAAGCATCTTTTCAAGAAATCTGTAAGAGAAATTTCGGATTACCTTACATATTGCCATTTGTGTTTATTCAAGTGAATGATTTTGTAGTGTGAGCAGTTTGAGTGTTTTTATCAGAATTTAATAGATTTGACAAGTGAAAACTAAAAATTCTCTTTCATCAATTTTGTATTAATTACTATTTCTTTCCAAAAGTTGAAGTAGACCTACATTTACTAGCATAGAATGCAGTTATTGCAAGGTGTATACTTCTTTCCAAATAGGTAACCTACAATTAACAGTAGCCATTTTCATTCATGATTTCAGATAGTTGTACCTAGGGACAGTGACTATAGATGTATCTAGGGATGTCCCTAGGTATGTAAGGGTAAAGTATGTAAGGGTAGTGTTCAGTTTACTTTCAGGATGTAGTCTGGTCATGCCACAAAGAAAGGATACAACAAGAGGTCTCAACATCCAACAGAAACAATTATTAGTGCAGTTTTGACTGCTTAAAGATTGTATATTATTGTTCAGCAATATTTCACTTATAGAAAAAGGATGAATATGAAAACTTTATTAGAAAATATTTTAAAAAATTCACATATAAGGATTCCCTCCTTCAAAATTGATGAAGATTCTGCCACATATAAGTTGACATGAAGGATATAAAAGTTAAGCTTCCTGACACATGTGTTGATTATTCTCAGAGATGTTCTGGTTGCGTAGACTTCCGTGGCCAGAGGTTCTATTGTCTAGGCTATCCAGGATGAGCCGTGTCACTGACGTGGTGACTAACGTTTCAGCCAGCGTACTGTGGCCTTCTTCAGAGCGTACTACTCAGCAGTCCCGGAAAGCCTAGACAATATTCTCAGAGGCAGCAAACATTTGTTATGTTTAGGGGTAGGGATAGTTGTTTAGGGGATTTGGTAGGTGTCATTGGATGTATTTTGGCCTAGTAAAGAACTGTCCTTTTTTTGTATACACTAATCTAATTAATAAACCTTAAATTAATAACTATGAAAATACCTATAAAACTTTTTAAAGTGACAGAAATCACTAAGCTAGTAATAAGATAATTTTTACAAGTGTGTATTCCTTTTCTTCTTTCAATATTTGAGTGCTTCTTGAGAAGTCAATCACAAAGCATTAATGATAGTAAAAAGAATTACTCAGAAATATTGTTCAATGTAGGCCTAAGTTTTGCAAAATAGAAGAAAGTTTTGTCTTGTTTCATAAAAATGAAACTACAAAATATCCTCACCATTTGCACTGATCAATTTGCCATGATTTTTATCTGATTCTTTCCTTCAAAAATGAAATACCTCGAGTAGCTCTTCCTTTACAAAAGATATAATATATTATTTCTTCCAAACTTAAGCTATTTAATAAATGAAAGCAACAATGTGCTAAAACTCAATAATAAATCTTCAGAATCACACATTCAACATGAGAAACAGGTATAAAAGGTGCAGAAATAAATAAAAAATTAATGAGACAAAATGCAAACTAAATAATTAGTTTATTAAATCATATTTAACTACATCAGTACCACAAATGAAAACAAGATGCATCTACTTACAGTTTCTCACACACAAACAATAAAAAGAAATGCAATGAAGAAATGAAAAAGCAAGCATTGACATTGAGGTCATACCTAATTGTACTTAGGCACTAGAACTGGTTTTAACTGTGCAGGACATGTTGCACCTACTGCTGATTCCTGTACTGATCTCACATCACAGTGGTAGGTAAATTGTTAAATGCTTTTGTTGGTAAAAAAATCAAAGGTTTGATTCGAATTTGACATTCCCTTTAGCAGTTGGAAAATAATTCTGAGACATTTTGTAGAAATTATGATTAATTTAAATTTTTTTATACCTTTACAAACTAAAATTCATTTAAACATAAATATTTATTTGAATTTGATTTATATTATTTTGAAAATTTGTCTAATTCACCATTTTCCTAAGTGGAAGCTTTTTACAAAGATATCTTTTTCTGGTACTTGCAGTTTAATGATGAAATCTCAAAGTCATCTTGATGCAGTTGCAAAATAATAGATCTTTTTCCAGAAATTTGGTTCTATCATAACTCACACAATACTAAATATCAAAAAGCTAATTCAGTGTAGATCAGTAAGAGGTATTATTGCAATATTGCTTCAGGTCCCATTTTTTCCTGAAACCAGTTCTCAGAGGCAATGAATCAGAAACTGTTCAAAGTCTGAGATTTCTTAAGCATTGAGATCAAGGCTGGACAATGCAGTTCTCAAGTTTCACAAGTTTGGTTTCCAGAAGATTTGCAATAGTGGCTAGTAATAAATGTCCACTGATATCTTTTTAAGTGAGCATTTCTATTATTCTAATAATTTGAGTGAATATGTACAACAACTTTCAGAAATTGCATTTTAGAAAAGAATAAGGGATAATAGTTCTTTTAAAAGATTTCAAAGTTAATTTATCAGGGTATAAAAATTTAAGAGATTTATGCATAGTAAAAACTAGGCATGCAAATAAATAAAATAACTGGTATTCATTGGCTTATACCTTAAACTACTCATTAATTGAACATTTCTTTCTAACTTTTTAAAGGACAAGCTATATCCTTTTTTCAAATTTTGATTAATTTATTTTAGGCATGTTTCATTGGAAGTTACTGTGAAATCTCAATTTGTACTTACAAAAATGTATGAGCAATTGAAATCAAAACTTGAGATTCTGTACTAACAATTTGAATCATTGGAAGTACATAGAAAGGCAACAACTCAGAAAAACATGCCTTATATATATAGCATTCAGAATTCTTTTATAAAAGAAATTATTTCAGTGGTTACAAATATAAACAAAATAGAAGAAATAAAGTAATGAGACAAAATGATATCTACAAAACACTACAACATGCAGTTGAACTACTAGTAGTATTCCAACAAGTCCAACACTTGATATCATAAGTGAACAGATTCTAATTTCTTGCCTTCATGTATTGTTAACTTCATTGTAGTTAAAAGTTAATAATTTACTGCACTTTATTTCTTAGTTCTTTCACAATGAAGGGAAGCAATACAGATGTGAAACACCTTTTGGCACTTGCAACATGAGGCTAATGCTACAAATAATAACAAAGAGTAATAATAAAAATAATAGCAATTATTGTTGCGACATTTCAGAATATTTGCATACATGCACTACAGTGAAAACGTAGTAACACTGGAAGCATTATTATTTTTTGAAAATATTTAACATATTTAATTTCTTGTGCTTTTTAATTTTAATTCATTAGTTTCTCACAAACAAATGGATTAGGCCAGACAGTTGTCTTGTTTTTATAAAAAAAGTTCCCTTCTCTTTAAACACTGTATAACATATTTGTGGTTTTTGATGTATTGATAGCATTATCACAGAAATTGTTGACTTGAAATGCAAGGTTCATCACTTGCATTGTTCACCATTCTTTAATTTATAACTTAAACATGTAACACACATCTCTTTTTCTCATTAAAATATTGTTTATGTACAAATTGAAAAGAAAGGAATGTGATGGTTAATATATTCATTTGATGTATTTATTATACAGTTACAAAATCTATACATAGATACATCTAAAGCTTATTACTCATGTTGATATTTAATACTGCTCCTAACATGATGATACCAAATATCATTTGGTATCGTTTTTGGTTGACTGTGTCTGGATATATTAAGTAAATATTACTTAAATGAACTACAGATTTGTTTTACACTTCGTTGCTCTAGTTTCTGTGAGTTCATATTAGTAGCTTTAAAATTCAGGAACTCAAGCATTTTTTATTAGGTAATTACTAATATAACAGTTCAATTTGTCAACCACAAACAATTATTTTACAAGGTGCATTGGCAGATGCTGTCAGATCCATCAGAAAATAGCTGGCATTTTGTTGTATTAATGTACTTACTAAGGCACACCATTTCATTATATGCATTATTGTCAGAATGAAACAAGATTAAATGTGAGTATGTGTTTATGTAAAGAAAAGAAGAAACACATAGCACAAAAGGAATGCATCAACAGTAACCATCACATGGTATTGTTTGAAATATTCAAAACATTTTTTAGCAAAAGCTACTAGTATATTATCTTTAAGAAAAATAATCAATTTTATGGTACAATAAAAAGAGAAAAATTACTTGAAATGTTTATTGCATTAAAATAAGTTGTAATATTTATTTATTTAATGTTTTGAATGAAAAACAGTGATATAATGAAGAGGCATTATAAACTACTTCTTCTAGCATGAATTGCTTGAGATGATATAGCAATAATAGGGAGTGACGTAAATGAATGACAATTATCTTGTATTGACTGAAACAATGTTTGCCTAGTAGGTCCTTCCCTCAGTGTTTCAAAATGTTGCCAAATATATACAGGCCCTTATCAATACTAATTTGAATACAAGCGCAAACCTGCAATTTTTAGATTTTAATACAATTCCCTAAGCATTCAAAATTTAAAGTGTATTTTTGTTTACTGAATCAACACTGCATGTTTATGCCCACATTTATATGCATTTCACAAAATGTGTAGCATCTGTGACAGAAGTATGTTTTCTTTTATTTATCTTAAAATCCTTGTAGCTAAATTTTTTGAGTGTACATGTACTTTACATTATAAATAAATTTATTTCAGATTCTTGTTTGAAAATAAAAAAAGAAAAGTTTAAGGAAAAACAAGCAGATAAAATACAAACAAAAAATTAATCCAGAAAAAACAATGCATAAAAGATGTCTTCTTTTCTTCAATTTCTCATTTTGTGCAATGGAACTATAATTATCTCAACATAATTAGTCTATGAAATACAATTAAGAATATCTCTTACATTTATCGTATTTTCAGTCTGTCTCCAGAACTATGTGGTGTTTGTATCGGCCATATCCTTTTTTGCACTAGATGCATTACTATTTACACAACAGCTGATTGCCTGTATTTAGTACATTCAAGGAAAGTTGTTTAAACACACTTTCTGGGTGGATGAATCACTGCATAGAATTTATTTCTCACATTTTCTTTCTATTGTAGGCTATTCACGACAAAACTCACAGTTCACATGGTGTTTAATTAAATCAATGTTTTACATGGCATTCTGAATACTGCAGTAAATATATTGTTTATTCATTATGCCATGCACTAGCACTTTTACAACACTTCGTTTTTGTGTTACTGTGTAACAGAGGATTCTTCTACAGTCAAACTTGGCTCAGGGCATGCTGAGCAGTTCACTACATCAAGCTATTGCACAATTCCCAAAGAGAAAGAAAAAAAAAAATGATAGGACAAATAAATTAAGAAAGACAGTACAACTATTTGGTGCTATTTTAAATCCTCAACTTCAGAGCAAGTAAAATGGTTCATTCTATTTCTCTGACCCGGAGTGTTGTTAAGAAATATATCAGTGTAAAATATGTTTACATTCATCTCTTCAAATTTGGTTCACATTAATAAAGTATTTTTTAAACAATTTACCAAACTTGTTGCAGAAAATTGAAATAAGCAATGAAATATTTTGTTCCAAGTTGTTCCACACACCATATGAAGAAAAAACTGATTGAGAAAATCGAATGAGAAATAAAAGTTATAAGAAATTAAGAGAAACAAGTTAAAACAATCAGCAGCATACTAGGTAGCTAATAGCAAAAAATTGTTCTTTGGAGGATGGTGTATCATATAAAGAAGCAAAACATTTTGTTGTTATTGAAATCACAATTACTTCTTAACTTACTTTTTTTTGTCAGATTAAAAAAATTCTAAAGGAAACTATTTCTCTTTAATTTGAAAACATGTCAAAAGAACAAAATATCTGTTGTTTTTTTTTAAGGTTCTCATTCACAATGCAAAAGTTTGTCTACAAAATTTGTAAGAACAAATGTCATTAAGTAAATGCATCTGATATTGAATTTTTTTAATCACTGGTATGTTATGATGACGGTAGGTTGATTTTTTAATGTGATATTTTCTTCTAATTGTATAATCCAAGTTCTAAGACCCACTTTATGCTTCGATCTGCCAAAATACCAATTTTTCAATTCGATATGTGGTGTGTGAAGGGGAGGGTGTCGAAACGGACCATTCATCTGCTTAGGAGTGGAGGGACGTCTCTCCTCCGCCTCCGTTTGCACCTGCCCTGAAGTTGAGCGATCGCTCGCCGTCTCGCCTACGAGTTGCACGGTGGAGAGAGAAGTCAAAAAAAAAGGGGGTGAGGGGTCTGCGCTCAGTCGTGCAGTACCTGGTTCCACTGCGGCGCCAGCGCGAAGACCGGCTGCTGCCAGCAGGACGGGCCGGCGGTGGCGAGGAGCCCGTCGCAGAGGGTGGCAGCCCCTGCGCCCCACGGGGGCGCC